GCCACAGCCGAGCGAGCATGCAGAGAGGCGTCTCAGTAAACGTGCGCTGTCACCACCCTCTCAGCACCAACTCTGTCTGCTGCCAATCCGTCTCCTCTACAAGACTCTCACCCTCATTCTCCCTACTCTTCTTCTTCACCCCCCCCCCCCCCCCACCCCCACCTACTCTTGTACCACACGCTGGGGCTAATTTTAGAGCTCCTTCCCTGGATCCCAGCATCCAGCTGGAGTTCTCTCTCCTCCCCTGCGAGGCAGAGGGAGCATCTCTTGTGCTCCTCAGAGCTCTCCAACCCTCCTCCAGGGCGTGTTGAAGGTGTGCTGAAGGGGAGGGAAGATGGGGGCATTTGGGGGGAAAGGGGGGTGGAGTGAGGTGAGCTCTTTCACCATGGAAACACTGAATCTACCTTTCTAATGGTGTTTAGTTTTGATTTTCTCCTTTCTGCTTACAGTTTTCTCTGGAAGAGTGGCGTTCTCTAGACAGAAGTTTAAACTCACAGGTGATTGGCTAAGCAGGCTCCCTGGTGATCTATTAGCAGTTAGAACACCTCGCAATGGGGTGAACGCCGTAAGACAGACAGCTTTCTGTCAGACAGCTGAACAAGCTCACCCTACAAATAGAGTTTCCACGCACACGCATGGGTGTCTGCATTTATTTTGTTCCAAATAGGATCATTTTACCACACATAAGAGGACATGACAGCTGTCAAAGCATTTTATAGACCATGTGCATAATTCTAGAGAATTATAAAATAAGGCCTGAAATGGTGGAAGCATCAGGAGGCACAATCATCAGTAAATATAATTACACTTACACATGATTTTACATATGAATGTTTGCGATTTCCCAAAGAAAAGAAATGAAAAAACAACACTGATGATTTTAGCATGTCAGATGTGAAGATTTTGTTAATAAAAGATTATGTTTGGCAAGATTTTCACTTCTTGTTTCTTTCAAAATGCCGTCCTGATAGGGATGAGAGATGAGCCCACTGTATATTGTTTTTCTGCTTCTAATGTTGCTCTTTTCTGGATTTAAAAAGACGTAAATGTTTTGCATGTTGATGCACAGCTGGAAAGCAGGCCTAATTCTATAATGATCATTCTTGAGTGCAACAAACAGAAAAGAAAGAAACTGGAATAACTGGACAACGCAGATCCTAATGCCCATAAAAGCAAGTTACAAAAACAAACCAGTCTCTGTCATTTGTCTGCATAGATTTGTATTTTTTGTTTGCGTCTCAGCTTTTGGGCCCGATCCTTACATGAAGGCATTCACTCAGCTGCTCTAACAAGCCTAGAGGGGCACGGGCCGAGCTATCTGAGAGGCTCGAGTCGGACCTGACTGAAGGCACAAATCACAGCCAGAGAGGAAAAGAGACCCTGACAGCAGAGGGCTGGAGCTCAGCTTTCTCCCTCCTCCCCCTTTTTTCTGCTCCTTGGTGGATTTTCTGCTTTTCCTGCTCTCTGCTTTGCCGTTGAGAGCTCTGACTTGGCTCGTTAAAATGAATCTCTGCGTACGACGGGGGAAGGAGGACAGTCGTTTCTCCTGCTGGTAGCTGTGCTGGTGAGAAAACCAGTGCGTTGGCCCGTGTGTGTTTTTGGACAGAGCTGGGACGTGATTCATCATGCGGCGGTCAGTAGGACTCAACAGGCATAACCACAGTCAGCCACAGCAAGCCTTCTGAGACCATGTTGGCCGGCTGCTCTCTGCACACACACAGCATCACTCCAAACACCCCGGGGAGGCAGCGGAGTTGATGTGTGAAACATACACAAAGAAAAGGGCTGCAGGGAGAACCGAGCTCAGATACGATTATTAGCTGCATGCATGCATTTCTGTTTAGTGTCCAAAGGCAGGCCTGCTCGTGGAAATTACGGGTTACAAAAAAGCTAGAGCACGAAAAACAGAAAAAAAAATACACGTTGTGCATTCTTCATGTCTTTCTTTCCACAGCTTGCCTGTGGAGCAAGTTTCCGGACATGGCTGAGGCCTCAGGTTCTCAAGTGGGAGGGGGCTCCGTCCTCTCTTCGTGCCTTTTTCCTTCTCTTTTCCTTTTTCTCTCAGCGGACGGAGCTGAAGGACATGTCACCACAACAACACACTTGGATGAGACAAGCCCACATCCCTCCCATCCCATCCTCCCCCTTCACCTCCAAACTTCCTTCCCTCCCCCTGTCATCTGGCTTTTGTTGCGTGTCTTTTTCCCTTTTATATTCTGTCCCTGCAAACACCAACACATAAACAAACTCAATTAGCTAATGACACTGGCCCGGCCATTGGGTGGTCCTAATTAACGTTTACTGGCTGCCTGATGTCAGCTCTCAGGCTATGATTAATAACTCGCCCCTACCACCACACACTTACACAAAAACAGAGAGAGAGAGAGCACATAAGTAAGGGGTGCAACTGTTTTCACATTATGATATTAAAACACACCCATCTATGACTCTGACATCTCAACAAGGCCACTAAACTAACCTACTGGACTCTCCGGAGTGGTGGAACCTGTAACGTGATCATCAAACCCTCCGTGCTGCAAAAGAGATTAGTGCCTGAGGGGAAAACTGCGGAGTAGTGAGAAGCTCAATCCAAACATTCTGGATCCAGCCGACGGTGTGTGAACAGGCCCTGTGGAGTGGCCAGCGTGCAGGAGAAGACCGCAAAGGGTTAACATCTGTCAAGCCTGCAGACTCCCTGTGTGTGACGCACTGTCTCGATGAGGGAAAGTCTAACAGGAAAGTCAGTCTAAAAAGGTCCCTGTGCAGCACGGGCCCAAGGTACATTTTCTTTGGCTCTCTTCTTACATTTTTTTGCTCTTTGCTTGAATGCAGTTGGATGGCTTTTACATGTGCAGATAGCTGCACAACTCTCCCCGTCTGCTCCGAATGCAGAAGCGTCTTCCCTGAATGCAAACTTTCCCCATGAATCGTTTTTTGGTTCTGGTTTGGCCTCACAAAACAGTCGTGTTCTGCACAATTCTTGTAGGTTTCCAATGATAAAACAGCAGTGCACCTTACCCAAAAACTCCACGTCTGTGTGTGTGTGTGTGTGTGTGTGTGTGTGTGTGTGTGTGTGTGTGTGTGTGTGTGTGTGTGTGTGTGTGTGTGTGTGTGTGTGTGTGTGTGTGTGTGTGTGTGTGTGTGTGTGTGTGTGTGTGTGTGTGTGAATGAGGTCAGGCAGGAGGGTGAACTCAGCAGTGACAAGGCTTCATATGTTAATATGCCGCACATGTGGCTCTGCCTTGGAAGGCCCGGGGTGGTCAGAATGACCCCCTACCCATTTCCACCCCATCCCATTCATCCCAGCTGAATGTAGCTCTCCATTCACACTGCTTTCACAGTGGAGGGTGGGGGAAGGAGAGGAGGAGGAAAAAGAGGAGGAGGAGGAGGCACCGCGGTCACAGAGGGAGAGACATGGTCTTTCTCTTTTTCTTGGCTCAGAGAGAAGAAAAACAATTGGTGTGCAAATGGATGCCTCTCCTTACTCCTGGATGCCCCCCCCCCCCATCCTTTCCAACACTCCTTCCTGCAGCCTCAGGAGGTTTAGGGAGAGGATCATGTCTGAGAAGAGGGCTACTAGGTGATCATCGTGCTAACTCTGAGTAAATGAAATAGCAGATTGAGGATCTGGAGGACGTGTAGACAAACTGTTTGTGTTTTTGTGCACAAACACACTTTGTGTGGTGCATGCTTGTTTGTATTCTGCCCATAGCCTGTCAAGGAAGAAAGACCCCCAGTGTCCTCTGTAATTTTCATAGGTCAGAGCTGACAATGGACACTTTGATAGAGAAGCTGTGGAGATGTAAATCAGCCAATAGAAGAAGACAAAACAACTGTCCTCCCCCCACCCCCCCACCCCCAACCAAAAAAAGGAGGAATTTAGATTTAAAAGAGTCAGTGAGTGCAACACAAGAGAGTAAAAAAAAAAAGAAGCTAGAGACATCCTCTCAACCTGCTTTTCAGATGAACACTGTAGATGGAGATGGGGAGGTGGGGGGAGGCAGAAGTTGTTAAATGGTGCTGGGGGAACTATTTCTGTCAGTCCGGCTCATTCCTGGGAAAGTTTGGAGCATCTTCCCTATTGCTTGGCACCTGGAGTGGATCGCTGGGAATCTGAACAATGACAGTGAGGTTGGTGGGTCGACAGAGCGCGGTCCAGCTCCGCTCCAGACGTGGACACGCTCCAGGCCTCCCTTAATCCAATCACCACAGCAGCCTCGGGGCTGAAAAGACCCTCTGGAAAGGGTGGGAAAGCCTCCAGCAGCAGCAGTCACATTTAGCATATGCCTCTTTAGCTCATGTAAATAAGCTCACTGGTGAAAATGTATTAACAGAAAAAATGAGGGTGTTCAGGAGAACGAGAGATGGAGGATTTGAGTCTACTCAGAAGTGATATTTAACCTTTAAAAAGGGTAAAAGTCAATAACAGATACTAAGTTCTTGTTGTTTTTAGCTTTAGCTCAAATAAACTGAATCTACATCTAACAGGATTGGTGGGCTAACAGCTAGGCCAGGATTTCACAACCTTTACAATTACCTTGATTAAAATAAAGTTCAGAATCAAATACACTTTTAAATATGGAATAAGGATGACTTGTCAGATAAAAGCTATGAAACTTTAGGATGCTTCACTTATGTATTAACCCTTTGATGCATGAATTATGAAATCTTCAACCATGATTTTTTTTAGCAATTTTTTCATTCATCTTTAGGTGTGAATGAAACAAATTTCAACTCATATTTTTTTAACATTTAATAATTTACAAATAATTTATTACATGTCCACCTCAGTGGACAGCGTGTATTCTGAACATGAAAGATGTTGGCTTGACTTACTGAAGTCCAAATGGAGGGGCTCAAATGCAATAAAGTCTTCAACAGCTGTGTTTAATAGAATAAATAAATAAATAAATAGCAATTTTGAGTACCTGTCCACTGTAGTGACCATTATGCATCAAATGTCACGGTCCATGGTGAGCTTCCTGCATGTAACCCTGTTT